TTGCCACCAAGAACTCACATACCTCATTTCCTTCATGTTTTACATTCAACAAATGAGAACAAAAAGAAAAACCTGTTATTCCTACCTCCAAATGCCTGTACCCCATCAGCTTATCCAACTACATTCTGATTTTCTTTCATTTCCAATTCCAAATTCTTTGCTAAACTGCCCTATTATTGGGTTCTATTAGAGCAATAACATCAGAATTAGTCCAAATCAATTGGTAGTACCTTAAAAGTCATCCCCATAAACTTTGCAGGTTTTTTTTTGTCTTTAACTGTCTGAATATTTGCTAGATATACAAAAACAAAACTAGTACTTGGGAACTCCAAGATTCAGTTGCCATTAGGCTAATACTACAAAAACTAATACAGTTTGTTACAGCAGTGGGATTTTTGTACTAAGTCTCCTGTGCCCTTTTTTTTTTTTGAAGTAGTCTCACTCTGTTGCTCACGGCCTCTCCAGTGTCGACCTGCTGGGCTCCAGTGATCCTTTCCGCCTCAGCCTTCCAAGCAGCCAGAACTACAGGCACATGCTACCATGCCTGGTTAATTTTTTGATTTTATTATAGAGATGGTCTCACCAAGGTGCCTGGGCTGGTCACGAACCCACGGGCTCAGACAATCCACTCGCCTAGGCCTCCCAAAATGCTGGGACGACAGGCTGAGCCGCTGAGCCACTGAGCCCAGGCTGTGCCCTCTTTATGGTTATTAAATCCTCTATTTAACTTTACTTATGGTAAACTAGAAACAGTTAGTCTTCAGGACTTCATGACTACTAAACCGGCAATTTTTTTTTTTTGAGTCAGAGTCTGACTCTGTCACCCATGCTGGAGTGCAGTGGCAGCTCATGGCCACTGCAGCCTCGATTCCTTAATTTCCTTGCACAGCAGAAAGACTGGAAACTTGGAGGGCCCAAGTGCATGGGATGGTCTTGTAAGTCCTGCAAAGGAAGAGACTGAACCGATTACTCCTACAATGTGGGGTTTTGGCTTCTTCCCTTAAAGGAACTTACCTTTGAAAGACTCCTTTTGCTACAAAAAGGAGCAGACTTTCTGGGGTCTGAAGGGATTTGTACTTGAAGATACTCCAGTCAGCAGAGGGTCATGCTGAGCATTCTGCAGACAGAATTGTTTCAAGTCTGCAGCTGCCTGGGAAACCTAGACAAAAAGAGAGATGTGCCAAAGGGTGAGAAGGTTTTAATGAAGGTGTTCTCAAATCTTTGGAAATGCTGGACTGGCAATAAACCGCAGTTTCCTTATCTCAAAGGAAGATAATAAATACTAGCTGGAGACTTAACAGTCATATACTGAGCTTTTATTCTTAAAAACACTGCTTGTAAATAAGACTGGGTTGGAGTATGCTTTCTTTTGCTTGTTTATTAGAAGCATCCAATGCTTCAGTATAAACAGTACAATTATGTTTATTTGCAAAGCACATCTTGCTTGTTTATTAATAACAGCCTGTCAAGTGCAAACCTGAAAGTACTCAGCATCTTGTTTTTTATTAAAAGCATTACACAGCATTAAAATTTAAACAAAAAGAGCATTAACATTCTACCAAACTATTACTGTCTTGAAAGCAGTATTATAGAAAAATGCTGTGAGCAAACATAATGTGGGATAGCTGGCATATAATTTAGAAAACCAAACACTAAGAATGCATGCAGTGTATTGGTGCTCAAATTTATACAGACCCTCTCACGCCCTTGCATTTAAACTAAAACAGATTAAAGAGGCACGCATGCGCTCATTCACTTAAACATCTACTGCTTGAACATATCCTGGTGAAGTGATGTAGGATATAAACAAAATAACTAAAGCCATGAAAGTTCCCTAAGTCCTGTCTGGGTGGCATTGCATACATATATGAACAGTTAAGGCAAATATAGTTTCTTAAAAGGTAGGCTACTCCAAAAAGGTGTCAAACTGCAGTTTATTGACAGCCTTTCAGTTACAAGACATTGGGCTGACAGCTGTCACTATCTAGTTTTGTAACATTAATCATTTGATGAGACACTTATACCAAAACAATGAACCAAATGGTTCAGATGAATGACTGAGATGCCCCAATGCACTCAATATCCCAAGTCTTCAATGGAGGTTTAGGAAAATGGGAGAAATCATCATTTGTTTTATGCTCATCTTAACTATCCCCAAGAAGGGGGAAAGCAGGTGTCCAGTGCATCCGGTAGGGTATCTGGCCTTTGAAAGGGAATTAATAGCATCCCAAATGTTCGATGTACCAAGAACCCCTGCAGATGACAGGTGTACTCCAGACCTAATAAATAACGCATCCTGAGATAAATGTGAACTGTTCTCAAGTCTAATTAAGTGTTTGGCTTATAACACAGTCCAGGGTGATGAGTTCCATAGGTTTACTGGTTCCTATGTACAAAAGTACTTTGACAAATGACTGCACCCTTCTCACCCCTCCCCATCAAGAGAAGCATAGCTCAAGTAGGGGAATGGGCAGTAGCATTTTTCACCATGTTGTTGTATTCATTTTCATTCACATTGTCCAGCAAGAAGCATAAAGTACCTGTTAACTTTCTGTTTGAAGTGTAAGAAGGGTTCAACCTAACTCCCTTTGACTAAGTTCTCTAGCACCACAATGTGACAAATATACCTGTGGGCACTGAGAATAGGTAAATAAGAACAGTAACCAGATCCCTACTGTTATGGAGTTTGACAGTTTGACAGTTCCGTGAAAAGGACAGACAAGGTGCTCTGCAGTAAAAAGAGTGACTTGTTAGATGGCGACTGGGTGGCCACCCGGGGAAGGTATCTGAGGTGACATTTAATCTGAAATCAAGGACAAGCGATCCAGCCAACTAACTGTCAGTGGCAAACAGCATTCCAAGCAGTGGGGAAAGCTGAGGCAAAGACTTTAAAACGGGAAGGAGCTGTGGCCCCCAGGCACTGTAATAAAACTCTGTAATCCCGGCATAGTGATTAGTGCCCCTTTTTCACTTACCCAAGGCTTCTGGACCTACTTATGGGAGAGTCTGTCAAGCACTTGTGATAAGTTCTGTCAAATGTACTCAAAAATAAAGGTGAAAAAGGAGGCTTGTGCTAGTTTAAAAAAAATTACACACACACAAAACCCAGCGCATAGATAAAACAGATACACAGTGTTAAATGGAGTCTAACCATTTAGCAACGAGTCTAAAGAAAAATTCATTGAAATCCCAAAGTGGGACGCCCTCCCCGCCTGCTGAAGCCTCAACACCAGGCAGAGATTGAGAACACCAAATCGTTTGTGGTGGCCTCCGTGATCCTGACCAGAAGCCCGCCGAACAATTAGGTATACAGATAGGATCCAGTTTGGGGGCGGCAGGTGGGGCTTTCAAGGGAAAGCTCTTGGAGTACTTCCGTCTGAGGACTTCATCTTTATTTTCTTTGGCGACCAGGGCTAAGTACCCCCATTTACACTGTATTGCTTTCACTAGCCCTTCCCCCATCTTGTTCCTTACCGGCCCATCCTCGTTTTGATAAAGGCACACCTGAAGGACAATACAATGGTTGTATACGGAATATATTATTCACATTTCAGCGCAAATCTAGCCACGATGGACCATAAGCCACTGGGATGAGGTGAGAACTGGATTCCAACCCAGCAGGGCACGAAGTGAGGGGGAATCTCACACTTTCCTTCCCTCCTGAGGGACCTCAAACGAGTAAGCTTAAACCCCTGACGGTTCCAGTTAAGAACGCTCAATGGAGACCCTCCCTCACTCCACAAAGCATTTGAGGAAGACAGGCGGACTCGCCTGACGAGGGTAAAATCAAGTCATCAAGTCATCCTGGAAACCGGCTGCTTCTAACAGGGTACACGATTCATCCCCTCGGTTCTTTCTCTAATTAGAAGAAGTGTTTCACACCTAACCCGACCTCTTGCGCCAGAAAGCAGCCCATCTATGCAGGATTGTAGAAATCAGGAAATACTTACAATAGCACTCGAATGTCAAGTCGTCCCATCAACACGGACAAAAGGCTCTTTTCCCCCAAAGTAAATATGCCAAGCCAAGGCCAATGCGAACCAGACGCCAAAATAAACAAGAGGCAAGCGGGCCCACCCGAACCACGTTCCCGGGCGTGCGGACCAGTGGACACCCCCAAGGTCAGGCGCGAGCCAACCACGCCAAACCGACGTGAAAGGCCCGTCTTGTTCGAGGCTGGGGGGGGGGCGCCGTCGGGAACCTCGGACTCCGAGGACCTTTCGAGAACAAGCTTCCTGAACCTGCAGCTTAAGTTATGCGAGGATTCGTTTTCCAGCAGAAATTGGGCGGAGAGGGCCAGTTGGAGGTAAGGGTTTACGCCTAAAGGGAGTAGCAGGCTCGGTAAAGAGATGGAGGGGAGAGGAGGAAGTCTGTTCCGAATCAGAAGTCGGAAAATCCCGCGTCCGGTGCCGCGAAACGGCGGGGGCTGGCGGGGAGGGGATGTGGGGGGGTGGGGGGGTGGGGTGGGTGCGGGCGGCGCAGGGGGGC